GTCACATGCATCAAGAGTGTGTGTCTCACTCTTATTGGCGGAGGATTGTTGCATGTTAATTTGCATGTGAGATGCATCAGTTGATTGTAAGGTACATGGGAGCTTAATGCTTGTGACATGCGAATCAAAAAAGCTTACATATAGAGGGCAGCACTGAACAAGAATAGCTATTTATGTGAGAGGAGATAAGTACCTATCACAAATATATTTTATGTATAGGAAAATTATAACTTTTGATAAATGAAACTTACAGAGAGGAGATGAATGAGGGACACGTCTGCACACTGAGGACATACATACTTAGAATTGTTGAAAATTTACTAATACTATATTCGAGAAATGTAAATTTAGGTTTTTGGAGAACAATCATAATTAATGAGGAAGTAGAGCATTATACCAGACCTCTCCAGAAGTTTCATGAATAGATCAGAAAAAAGAAAGAATCACTGTAGTTCATTGTTGCTAGGCTATTTTCATCAGTTTCTTAATTCTGATACTTCATCTGATTGGTCCAATGAGATGAACCCTCCATAAATCTGGCACAGATAAACAATTATTTTTATGATTATACATCATGAATTGCTGCTAATTAAAAATGCATAATAGATATGCAAAGTAAAAATGTTTAATTAAGCATATAAATTTTGAATGTAAATTTTATAAACAGAAGAGAAAAGAATATATACTTCCTAAAATGAGTTTTTTTTCATGTTTTACTATATGACAACTACTCAGTACAGCTGACTCTAGATTATCCATGGACAGATTATCTGGTTTATGGATTAATTGTGTCATAAATACCACAAGATATTATATTTCAGTGTAAATTTGAACTGCTTTTTGTACAGTTCCTATTCATTTGGTTTGCTGTTCATTTCTTTTTTCTTTCTTTTCACTTTATTGTTTTATCATTTTTTAGTGTTTTGTGTTTATTGACTGTTAAGAACACATTGTTAAAAGATAAGTGAATTGTATTGACAATGTAACAAAGACTCGAGATTATTGAAAAGAGTGAACAAGTTTTGACAGTGAAATATAATGCAGCTGCATTCAATATCAGCAAAACGACTGTTCATGATATAAAAAACAATAAGAAAAAATAATTAAGCTTGCTAGTAATGATGACACTATGGGTGGTTTAATGAAAAACCATGGAGCTGGCTACTTATGATGAGTTGGATAATGCTATGGTTCAATGGTTTAAACAGCAGGGAGTGGATGGAACATGTATATTTGGTCTCATCTGTGTTAAACAGGTCAAATGTTTCTTTGAAACTTTAGGCATGGAAAGTGATTTCAATGCATCATCTGGTTGGCTGACACAATACAAGTGAATCTAAGTTGATAAGTTGAGTGGGAACAAGGAAGTGGCAAATGAGTTTATACAACTCTTTAAAAACTTCTTGGAAAAAGAAGATTTGAAGCTATAACAAATATAAAATGGATGAAACCAGACCCTATTAGAAGTATCAACCAACCAAGACATTGGCTTTTCAAAAAGAAAGTTAAACTTGAGGTCATAAATCATGCAAAGAATGATTGAAAGTTCTGTGTAATTACAATGCTGAAGGCATGCATATATTAAAACTGTATGTCATAGGTAAAGCCAAGAAACCTCATTATTTTAAAGAAACTGAAGTGTCAAGTTTCCTGTTGATTATTTTCACCAAAAAGGGGCTTGGGTAGACCACACAATTTTTGAAGAATGATTTAAAAAAAAGATTCATTCACTAAGTAAGAATCCACTTAAAATTGTTTGGTCTACTGGATAAAGCAGTTCTTTTGTTCAACAACACTCCTTCCCACCCAAAGTGGTTTTACAATATGATGATCAGAATATATTTCACAAGTATTTCCTGTCTAATGTGACATCTTGGATGCAACCAATGGACCAAAATATCATATTATGCAAGGAAAGAAGGTTCTGATCTGAAAGCCTTTTTTGAAAAGTTTGAAGGTGTTGGATGCGATGTATGAAATCGGTAAGGTATGGAATTCAGTGAAGCCTATCATGTTGATATGAATGTGCAAAACAATTCTGCCAGAAAATTATGAGTAATTTGAAGATTTTTGATGAAAAAGAATTCATGGCACAGTTAATCTAATGTTGCCCCAGACAAAAGATTGTGAAGATTTAGATGAATAGAACTAAGAGTGTGGCTACCAGTAGATTATTCTGAACAGGGGCACAAAGTTTTTTATCACTGGAAATAATTGTTAGGTGCACTCAAGCTCATGAAGAAAGTGAAACAGCAGACAACAAAGAAGAAGAAAATGGTGCAGCTCTACCTCATGCTGTAAATCTGCTAAACTACTTAAAGCAACAAGAGGATGTGCTGTTGTCAGAAAAACTAATTTTTATGCATTCTGCAATTCAAGAAATGCATATCAAAAATACAGAAAACTTTAAATTATTATTTTAAATGATTTTAGCAAGGCCTATTATATATTGTCTATAACTATTTAATATTCATTATGTAAAAATCGGTTTTTCAACTGTTTTTGTTTTTCTTAGAAATACATATATGTAAACCTTTTCATGACTTTTATATTTCTTTGTTAACCATTCCTCCTCTTCTGTTACTCCAGATAGTCGATAGTGAACTGTTGGTTAAATGCTAAGAAGCCAATTTTGAGATAAGGTAACAATCGATTAAAACAACAACAAGCTAAATCACCTCTGACTAGTAGGTCTAATAGACATAAATTTCAAGTAAATTATGTTTGTTATTCTCTTGTAATTACTCATTTATTCTCATGGTCAGACACATTAAGTTCAACATTCTTCTCAGATCTTAGAATGAAAGATTTAATGATGGCTAAACCTGTTAAAGTTTCAATTAGCTTTCCAATAAGAAGCAGGCCAGAAAAAGGTCTTATTGTTGTATTACATATCTCACTTCCCCAATAGTGTGTATTTCATATCTACAAAACTTGTCTAAAATTCCAATCTGGATTATACTAAATCTGGTTGTGATCAATTCAGGCTAAAGTGTTACTTTCTATAGCTCAGGCATATAACAGAACCTATAGACTGATTCATGAAATATTAGTATTATATCCTACAGAACTATATATATATGTTGGACTCCTCTATGAACATCCAGATTCTTGTGATTGGTCAAATACAGAGAGAATGTGGATCATGAGAGCAGTTTTGGCATTTTGTGGAAGATTAGCTTCTAGTTTGAAAGGTTCAAGACTTGTTTTAAAGTGCCATGTTTTAATGTAGGATCTTTTTGATTTCAAGCTTATTTCAGTTGTAATTTGTAATTCACTTTAATTTTACCATTATCAGCATGAAAGACATGTATGACAGTTGTGGAACATAAAATAAACAACACTTAGTTATATTAATCAAACTTTTCTTTTGTTGGTATTGGTTCTCACATTAACATTCCATACACCCAAGTTTTGAACCTCTCATTATACACTGTGGTTACCTCTAGCACAGATTGTACAATGCACTTCGTCTAGTAGGTAGCAACAGGTTCTAGTTTTCACAGCTAGCCCAGCAAGGGTACATAATGTCATTGAGCAAAAAAATAAACAGGGAAGTATGCTCAGGAAAGTAAAATCTTCAGAACATTTTATAAATTACTAGTCTTATATAAGACTCCTTTCTTAGTTTTTCTTATTTAAACTTACGTTTATGGTAATCCAAGATTATACCTACATACGGATACCTGATTTCCACAAAACTAGAAGTTTGTGGATTCAGTATAGGGAAGGAAAATTGCAGTGATTTGTTGCAAGTGGATGGAAAGAGGCAAGCCACTATTTTAAAGTTTGAAGAACATAAATATTTCACTTAGAAAAGAAACAAAAGATGGAAATAGTGTTAGATAGTAAAATGAACTGTATTTAAAGATTAAGGGAACTTATATGATCAGTAAAAGTGACGGATAAAAATTTAACACGGACAAAACTTCAGCAACAAGTCTTGGCTATTTTAGGGCAGAAACAAGTCTCCTCTCTTCAAATGTCAGAATAAATCTTTCTCAAAAAGCATCAAACTTACTATCACAAAGCACATACTCTCTGCAGCTGACCAATCAGAAAAATTCATTGAAATGTGGAAGTATCTGCATTCCATATGACAATTACAAAGGTATCCCCCATCCACAAGGTCAAGAAGGATACAATCCAAATATCCAGGAAACAGTAGATAAGTTCAATGACTGGTCACGCTACAAAAAATAACACCTAAGGCTGAAATTTGCAAATGATCTCAATCAGATTTAGTGTTCAAAAATCAGAAGTTAGGAAAATCCCAATTTTTGTAAGTAAAAAATGTACACTATATAAGAGTAAGATGTATGTAGTAATTGCATAGCACAATTTTTTATCCAAGGGAAAAATTGTGTGTGAAGGATTTTTATCTGTATTTGCTACATCTTTTTTCATTGTAATATTAATATGTTAGTATTCTAAAGTTTTACTTTAAATTGTAGGAACACATCAGATGGGCCACTGTTCATCATAATACATACAGATATATTTAGATTATAGACAGTACCTTGTCAATAATTACACTGATGAGTTGTGTGTTTATGAGCTGTGCTAAAGGATGAAGTTAAACATTATTGATTTTAAATCTTTGATAATTTGTTACTATAAAAACATCGCATCTGTTTCCTCTTCATTTTTTAGGTGCCGCATGCATGACTTTCACAAAGCTATGAAAACAAAATAATGAAAGTTTATCATCAGTGAAAATGTTGTTCATCAAGTTGTTCTATAAAAACAGTCATTAGTTGCAGTTAATTGATAAAAATTTAACATTTTAAAACTTATTACATGGCCCAAAATGTAAGATAAGTTAAAAGGTCATATTTAAATATCTCTGATGAAGTAGAAAAGAAATTATTGGAAATATGTTGTTTTTTTTAGTGAAATAAATTAAAGTTCATTCATGTACACACTATCTACAACTCTGTTACTAAACCTTTATTTCTATATTAGTTTGATTCAAAATATATTTTAATTGTATTTTTCAGGCTATTGTATTTGTTGTTGGAGGTGGAAATTATATTGAATATCAAAACCTCATTGACTACACAAAGGTTAGTTTTTATTATTACTTCTGTAGGACAGTATAATGTTATAGTATTATTATTGTATACTGCTAAAAGAACAAGCTGTTTCAGTGTTTGTTTTTATAATCCATTGAGAACTATTTTGTAATAAGTGAGAGTAATATAGGATGGAAAAATACATCTCATTAATGTATCTTCACCCACCCCAAAATATATATACAAAGTGATTATAAATAAGGATTTGCAGTTCAGCACATTATGTCTCACAAACAGTATGTCATAGGAAGATGTTAAGTGTATCATGCAGATGCAAATGCCACAATTGTCACTTGTTACCACTAGGAGTACCATTATGTCTGATGAATATTGCATATGAGTCATCATGTTTATTAAATAAACCTTTTTGAATTTAGATTATCATTTTATAGGGTCATACATGAGATCTTGGGGATTGGGGAAAAAATCATTCTGTAAATTCTGAAAAAAAATAATAAAATCTTTGGCCATTAACTATGAACATGCATGTAATGTTGTAATATTGATGATGTGGAAACTTTCTTCTAAAAAAGAGATGTTTTACACAATATGAAGATAGTTTTAATATTCAATTATGAATTATTATTATGATAAAACATCAATTACACATGAATAAATTACTGTTAAAACATCAGTTATACATGAATGAATTATTATGCTAAAACATCAGTTATATGTGAATCAATTATTGTTAAAACATCAGTTATATGTGAATGAATTATTATGTTAAAACATTGGTTATATGTGAATAGATTGTTATGTTAAAATTTCAGTTATACATGGATGAATTATGTTAAAACATCAGCTATAAATGAAATATGTTAAAACATCAATTATATGTGAATGAAGTATTATGTTAAAACATGAATATGTGAATGAACTATTTTGTTAAAACATGAATATGTGAATAAAGTATTATGTTAAAACATGAATATGTGAATGAACTATTTTGTTAAAACATGAATATGTGAATGAAGTATTATGTTAAAACATCAATTATACATTATTAGATATACACAACTGTTTCAATTTAAGTTTGATACAAGTGTTAAATTATGTTTTGAAGTTATAGTTTATCACAGGTTTGTTTACATAACTGTGTATAAATCATATGTTGTGTAGCTCAATTGTCATGAATTGGCATTTGCTGTATTATTGCTCATGCTTCTAGAACCTTCTAAGGTTTTTCTTGTTGTTTTGATTGATATTATTGCATCATAATATCTTGTAGGGTGTAGAAAGTTCTAGGCCTTGGTCAGGCTATAAATACGCTTATGAAATGTAGTTCAAGTTAGTTAGTTAAATAAAGATAGACTGAGTGATTGTGAGTATAGCCATAAAGAGCATATAGTGGCAGTTTTTAAAGTGAAATTATCACTACTTGTATTGTAATAACAGAGCAGAGAAGAATAATTTGGCTTATCAAATTGTGTTCTAAGGTAACTGAACCAGTCTGTGTGGACTTTGATGTAAAAGAGACAATTATTTAA